TTTGAATTTGAAAGTTTTTTTTTTTTTTTCCCCATTCAGCATTGGACTCTTGACTTTTATCTTTTTTTTTCTTTCTTTAAATCATGTCTCTCTCTCTATTTTTTTTTCTCTTTTTCTCTCTCTCTCTCTCTCACTCTCTCTCCCCCTCTCTCTCTCACTCTCTCTCTCTTACGCATACACATTGAAGTCGTCTCTTTCTCTCTTATTTAAGTCGTCTCTATCTCTGTCTCTCTCTCTTTCTCGCTCTCTCTATCTTATTTAAGTCGTCTCTGTCTCTCTCTGTCTCTCTCTTATTTAAGTCGTTTCTCTTTTTTTTTTTTTTTTTTTTTACATTTTATTTTTTGATAACTATTCATGAAATTTGAAGAAAATATTGTTGATGTATACAAATAAAAGTCACCTTAGTCGTTTGTTGGTATGTGATCTCGTGTTCTACGTGTTCATGGTAATGGAAATGGATATTAATCCTTAGTTGTTAACATTTGTTAAATTCTGTTTGTCAATATTGTATGGTTTTGTGTGTTCGTTTTTATACTGTTCTGCTTATTCTTAAAAAACAACCAGGTGAGTATCCCTTAAAATATAGACATGACATAATGTTCAAAACCGCTTGAGACGAGTAAAAAGTTTGGAAGAAAAAAATGTAGGCTTAAATGTTTTGTAATGTTATAATGTGAATTTTATGAATAATTAGAAAGGAAGAGTCTCGATAGTAAGATTAAAAAACAACGATAAACTTAGGCCGTCTTCCAGTAAACGGTATCGAAGGAAAACAAAGGATGCTCGAGAATAATCAAGGTACGTATGATTGGTCTACATGGGCCGCTCAAAATACTCAAGCACTTATTTGAAGCAAATTTAGTGTTATTGGGAGGGTTGGGTCACACTATGTATTTCGAATGAATATTGGAGAAGAAACCAATCCGATAAGAAGGAATAAAGATGGCAATAAATGTACCCTTTTTTCCAAGGCACCCATGTTATCCCGAATGACCTCCTCTCGCCAAAACCTGTTCCAAAAAGTCATGTTCTCTACCTTCTTTGCTTCTATTTCATCAAAGTCGCCCAAGCAAAAGAGGAGAAGAAAGGTGAGGCCATCAACGGTTTGCCCGACCTCGATCGCTAGGAATGATCCACGACCTTCGAGGCTGGCTGGGCAGAGGTGCGGCACGCCGCATAGACCCATTTCTGGGGGTGGTGCAATGTTGTTGCGGTGGAGCCAACGCCTACTTCTGAAATCTGGGCCTCGTGCTCAGGCGAGGAGAATGGGTACTACGAACTACTTCCTAGCGATCGGGGCTCGAAAAGGTCGGCGAAGACATGTTACCTTTTTCAAATCTTTTGTGAACGGATGAATGACTTAGAATACCTAAGGCTGGCCGCAAGAAGGAGCCACCTCGATTATGGTGGATTGGAGCCAAAAAAAGTTCCGATCGCAGTGACAAATTTATCCGACCAGGAAAGTGAGCCCTGCCAGAGAATGACAAAGAGCAAACGTGGACAAACAAGGTACATATGACTCTATCGCATGGGGCCCTGAAAAGACTAAGGGGCATATAGGATCATAAATCGAACATAAAAAACGAATCAGGCATACGAACAAAATAAGAGGCATATTAATTAACCTTAATAGGAGTTCAAAAAAGTTCCGGTCCCGATTAAACGTTTGCAAAAACATGAAAGTGGACCTGTACATCTATATTTACTTGAATAAATAAATTCATATGTGAATAAACATTGATTAACCTCGATAGACCATCTAAAAAAAAAAAAAAAAACTGACTCCTTTTTTTTTTGATCCTCTGTGCTTCGCATTTTGACTGTGTTCTTTGTGTTGCACTACGTCTTCTTTGTTTTTTTTTTTCTTTTCTTTTCTACTTGACACTATATTACTCTTCTTCAAATATCTATATATGGATGTTTTGAGGTGTATTATTTTGGTTCCGGTTCCTGTATGCATCTTATTCCTCCTATCTGCCATGACGTGCCCATGTATAAATACGTACGTACGTGCCCATTAATATGGCAGAGGACCAAGGTCCACATGATGATTCAACCAACAGTAATCTATCCACCGTTCCAACCTTCTCTTCACTTGCGGATACGTCCTTGCATGTTCCATGGAAGCGTCGCAAACGCTTTCGGTGTTGTGAAAGGGTTGTTAAGGATCATCGGGCATCTTCGCCAATGGTATCAGAGTGTTCTGGGTGTCCTTCCGTTGTTCCAGCTCAAGTTGGTTTGTCTTCGTTAGAGAGAGGTCAAATTGTATCAAGATATGCGTGTTGTAGGTGCATGCAAAGCATGCTGACGTCTATTTGAGTTCGACGTTGCGGAACAATGACCCGAGGTCGAAAGATTGTCCGTGCATCTCGAAAACATGCAAAAAGTGCAATTCGAACCTGGAACTGAGCATGACGTTGTTTCGCAAGGGCCCCCGAAAACGAAATTGACGCCATGGATGAAACACAACTCTTTGAATGAACATGATCCTAAAGAGGAGCTTCCTCTGTATGCAGAGATCGTTAATACTCATGTATGGGATAACAAATATAAGAAGTGGAACCGAAGAAAGTGTGATCTTCACGGTCGTCCCTTTGAAAAAATATCTCGGTTGCATCACGTGAGGATCATGGAAGGCGAACAATTTTATCTGCACGTGTTGCTAATCCATGGACATTCTCGTGGGGTGCGCTCTTTTGCAGAAATTCGTACGGTGGACGGAGTCGAATACGGTTCTTTCCAATCCGTGTGTCTTCGATTAGGTCTTTTGTAAACAGACGATGCATACGATCAATGCATCGACACAGTCGCGGCGCATTACATGCCTGAAGAAGTTCGTAAAGATTCGCTATGGTTCTCGCGTTTAGTCCAGTGAACGATCCGGTCCGTTTCTTCGAACGACATTGGGATAAAATGTGTGACGATTTTCAGTATCGCGCAGACAATCAAATTGTTCCCCCGAACATTTTGCAATCGTTAGTGTTATTCCATCTTGACCGTATTTTGCAAGAGTCTGAAAAAAATATCTGTCAGTTCTGCCTTTATTATCCGACACCCGATGGGGAAACAATTGCTGAGAACATAATCAGACATTACGAGAACAGAACGGTATCCTCGATTCTAAACGACGAGTTGTCGTATGATCCGATTCAAATGCAACGCAGATATGACTCTAATTTTCGACGTCTTCGTCCACTCCAACGAGTGTTGGTGGAAAGAGTTGTTCGGGCTGTGCAAAAGAAAATACCGTTGCGTGCTTTTGTCGATGCACCGGCTGGAACAGAAAAAACTTTTTGCATTGAAACGATTTTGGCGGGCATCAGGTCGCGTTCTGCCATTGCATTGACCGTCGCATCCAGTGGGATAGCGACTACGTTTTTGACGGGGGGTCGAACGTTTCACTCACGATTTCGTGCACCTTTGAAACCTGATAACACACGTCCCTTCTTGATTCCGAAACAAAATGATATTGCAGAGCTTATCCGCCGTGCCGACTTGATTGTTTGGGATGAGGCTCCGATAAGTAATAAGTTCCACTTGGAAGCTTTTGATATTACGCTTTGGAACCTCTATAATAGTGACGAGCCGTTTGGTGGGAAAGTTATACTTCTTGCTGGGGATTTTAGACAGGTTTTGCCCGTTTTGAAACACGGATCGCGAGCGTAACAAATTGATGCGTCCATAAAAATGTCTCCTTTGTGAAAACGTTTTGAGGTTCATCAACTGACCGAAAATATGCGAATCTTAAGTTTGGGCAATGATGAAATGACACGAATGTATGACCACTTTTTGATGCGTATTGGGAATGGTGACCATCCTCGTGTTGTTCCTAATGAACTTGCCGCGGTCAGATTAGCACGTGAGATTTGTACGGATAAACCGATTGATGAGTTGATTTCATGGACGTTTAATGGTGTCCAACCATGTGGGGGATGCCAATTATTTTTTGCCTCGGTTAATTCTATGCCCTACAAATGACGATGCCGGTTCTCTTAACAACCGTGTTCTTGACGATTTTTCTAGGGAGGTGCGTGACCTTTTTAGTGTTGATTATCCTGATTCGGATGATATCAGACTCAGTATTGAGCGCGAGTTTTTAAACTCTCTCAACGAATCTGGCCTTCTACCTCACAGGTTGCGCTTAAGAATTGGTGCACCTATGATGCTTTTGCGAAATTTGTCACCGAAGCAAGGACTTTGCAACGGTACAAGGCTGATTCTGAAAAAGATTGTTAATGATGATTTGTTGGAAGTGACAATAATGCACACGGGTAAGACAACACTGATCCCCAAGATTGATTTGACAAGCGATGGAAAGACCACGGGGTTCAAATGGTTTAGGAGGCAATTTTCAGTCCGTCTTGCTTTTGCTGTCACGATTAACAAGTCGCAAGGACAAACTGTATCGCGTGCCGGGGTTTGGCTACGCAAACCGGTTTTTGCGCATGGCCAACTGTGCGTTGCTTTGTCGCGTGTTGGCCACCCCAACAACATCTGTGTTGCATTGCCTGATAATAATTTTTTTACTAATAATATTGTATATCATGAACTTTTTTTTTTTTTTTTTTTTTTTTTCGTCGAGCTTTTGCATTCCAATATAATTTCGTCATATTCTTTCTTTGCAGGCGACTCCCGAATGCGGTATAAGTACGACACTCGTGCTAAGAGGAAAGCAATGACAACCAGCAATACCACTCAATATGATACGAATGTTACATCAAAAGCTGAAACCGAATATTCGGAGAGGTCGAAAAAGAGTGGAAATGATAAGAGGTCGGTGAATCTTGGAAGTGAGCGTTCTCGGGACGATCGTGGTCCTCTTGCTGAAGTTGAACATCGATGTTCGCAAGGCAATACCCTTGATGATGCTGAGAAGATGGTTGTGGAGGAGGGTGGTGACAATTGTCGTACTGATGGGGATGGCTTGCGTAGAGGTCTGTCGGGTGGGCCTAATAACCTTACATTTCTTGGTGACGAGGATGATGACACTACAGGTGATTCGAAAAAAGAATATATTGATTCTACATTCAAGAGAAGAAAGAGTCGTGGTACGAAATCTAATCCTTTGGGTTCGCCCGAATTTCTCGAGCCTACGTTTGCTATCAATCGGGTGGGACAACAACTTGTTGTTGATGAAAGGGGAACTCAAATTTTGAATGCGCTGAATGCGCTCCCTGTGGATGCACTTGCATCTTTTCCGTTTTGTGCACCACTCGCTGGGTGTGCACGTGTTCGCAATCTCAACCCAGCGGACGCGAAAAAGATGTTTGCGCCACATCGCAACCACAAAATCCTTTGGGGGTTATTGTTGTGCCCAATGATAACGATGCACCCACAATCCGCACTCCGAATCCGCGCGCTTACCTTGCAAGATGGTTTAACAATGTGAAGAAGGTTGGTATCCAAAATGTTTTAACTGAGGTGCTTTTTGAAATGTTTGTCAAAAGTGCCACAATCGTAAAAGATGGACGAATATGGGAAAACTTCCTCGAGTGGAAAATAAACAAACTCACTGATATGCGGTTGGAACGACGATCCCCTCTTCCTTCAGACCCGTTGAATGTTTCGGATTTGGAGGCTTCTTCCATGCTGAATTCACTTTTGACCGATGAGTATGTTGCTCTCTCTAATGAGGAGATTACTAGGATGACATTTGATTTACCACCTTGTCCGACAGAAGGGACCATTCCCCAACCATTTCACAGATATGCACGGATACAGCACCATTTGAAAAAGATTCCTCCTGCAGTTGCTTCCTCCGCTCCTCATTCCACTCCGGTCCGTCGACTCCCCCTTCAAGCAACATCTCCTCCAAATTTTCAACGTCTTGCGGATTATGCTCCACCATCCAATATGTCAACGCCGATTGTCACTACTTCTGTTGTTGTTTCTGCTTTGCCGACCACTATGGCTACTCCGTCTCCTCTCAGTTGTGTTGTGCCCGCTCTTACGCCATCAAAAGACCATTTGCATTCCATACAGGACCCTTGGAACAACCAAGTTCTTCTAATTTCAACATTACCATTTATGACTCTCTTGAATCTATTGGTCCCAAAAAAATACTTGCACACCTGTCCTATCTTGACAGTTCTCACAGGGTGCAAGATATTGTGGAAGCAGCAGCGGAGTTGAATACGAGCATGGACACTTGGGGATGTGTGGATGCTGCAATTTATCTCAATTACAATCGGCAAAGACAAGGTCGATTCGGAACTTTTGAGGAGTATCGTCGCAAAGTGTTGCAACAAGTTTCTGTTCGTGAGGTGCTGCAAGAGTATCGTTCCAGTGAAGGAAGTTGATTGGTCTTATAAGAGAGATAGAAAGAGAGAAATGTTGATTGGGCGGTTGTCCAGGCGTTGCCTTAATGCATATTTTTTTATGGTCAACTTCGGTTTCGGTTAAGTAATTGCCCTTACAAGAGAGATAGGAAGAGAGAGATAAATAAATGGGGGGGCGGAGAGAGAGAGAGAGAGAGAGAGAGAGAGAGAGAGAGAGAGAGAGAGACAGAGAGAGAGAAAAAAAAAAAAAAAAATTTGACTTCATATTGTTGCGTTTTTTTACGGCAAGGTGGATTCCATTACGCAATAATTGTGCCTTGATCATAGTGCGGCCACTTGCTAACTTTAATGGAACGATAAATCCTCATATTAAACTTCTTCTCTTTGTATACTGGTGTTGGTCTTTCTTTATTCTTTGCTCTTTTGTTGCTCTCTCTCTCTCTCTCTCTCTCTCTCTCTCCCTCTTTTCCTTTCTTTCTCTCTCTCTCTGTTTGTCTCTATCTCTCCTCGCCCTTCCTCCTACTTTCTTTTTTTTTAACGAGTTTCTAGACTACCAGCCGAGCGGCCCGGTTCCCGGGTGGCCATCCCGTGGAAGGAGCATGAAAGGTCCCAGCAAAAAAAAAAAAAAAAAAAAAAAAACTCCAAAACAAAACTATGTTATGCAGAAAAATAAACTGAACAACTTTTGCCTCAGGGTTACATCGAAATCCTTCATCAAATATAAATAATAAAAAAAATAAAATTATCGTCAGTTAAACTCAGACTTCGTAGCCAATTTTGGGCTATTTTTTATTACCCTGTGATTCTTTTTTTTTTTTTTTTCGAAGTCTGCTTGAGTTTATGCGAGTGATCTGTGTCAGGTTCCCTACAACATTTCTTATTTTTGCGGGCATAGCCCGCACCGCCTGAACCGCAGGCGCTATATATATATATACTGTCACATAACTATGAACTATAAGAGCGCATTTTGCGAAAAAAATGGCAAAAATAAAAAATTAAAAAACAAGACAAACATGAAGGGCACGCTGAAACCATTCATTTTTCTCATTTTTTTTTGAAATCCTCCTTCACCGTGCCTCTCACGTACAAGGCTCGCCACGTTGATGAAGTTGAGTACGAGCTGCCCCCATCCCTGCGTACCATAACGGCCCACTTGTACACTGTGAGAAAGAGGCAGAGTGAAGGGGGAGGGGATACACACAGGGAGGAGAGATGGAGAGTAGACAAACAAAGAACGATAAAGGGAAAGTAAGGGAAAGTACGGAGTGTGGAGTGAAGATGAAGGCAAAAGAGGGTAAGAAAAAGCTCAAGAATGAGTTTGTCCTTGACAACAGAGAGGACATACATTGTAAGGATGAGGTGGATGAACACATGGAAGATCTAGTTGAGCATGATCAGTGCAACAATTGCCACGACGGCTGTTATTGAGCATGCCCACCATACACCCCCGACAAATGGCATCTCGATTGCATGCCAAAACGAAAGAAGAATGGTCACCACCAAAGACCATGCATTCAGTATAGCGCCCATGGCTGCAAAATGGACATATAATGTCTAGATGTGGAGGGTGCCAGCAGTCAGGAACGGAGGGACAGTCCTCTGCACACATGGATGCAAAAACCTTGTCATTGTAGTGGTTGTGACAGAGACGATCGCGGCTACAACTGAGTGTAACAGTGTTTGTAGTTGTGCAAAGGAGAAGGTCGCAGAGTGTTAATATATATTGTCACATAACTATGAGCTAAAAGAGTGCACTTTGCGAGACAAAAGGTTGAAAGAAAAAATAAAAAAACAAGACAAACATGAAGGGCACACTGAAACCATTCATTTTTCTCATTCTTCTTTTAACTCCCCCTTCATCGTGCCTCTCATGTACAAGGCTCGCCACATTGATGAAGTTGAGCGCGAGCTGCCCCCATCCGCTTGTACCATAATGGTCCACTTGTACGCTGTGAGAAAGAGGCAAAGTGAAGGGGGAGGGGATAAACACAGGGAGGAGAGATGGAGAGCAGACAAACAAAGAACGATAAAGCGAAAGTAAGGGAAAGTACAGAGTATGGACGCTCAAGAATGAGTCTGTCCTTGACGAAAGAGAGGACATACATTGTAAGGATGAGATGGGTGAACACATGGAAGACCTAGCTGAGCATTCTCAGTGCAACAATTGCCACGACGCCTGACATTGAGCATGCCCACTATACACCCCCGACAAATGGCATGTCGATTGCAGGCCAAAATGAAGGAAGAACAGTCACCAAAAAAGAACATGCATTCAGTATAGCGCTCATGGCCGCAAAATGGACATATAGTGTTTGGATGCGAAGGGTGCCTGCAGTCAGGAACGGAGGGACAGTCCTCTGCACACATGGATGCAGAAACCATGTCATTGTAGTGATTGTAATAGAGACGATGGCGGGTACAACCGAGTGTAACAGTGTTTGTGGTTGTGCAAAGGAGACGGTCGCAGAGTGTTGGTACATTGTCTTGCTGCAGCACGAGGCCAAAGGAATGATCTTTGACATAAAAGAGATTGCGGACGGTTTGTTGTGGCAAGAAAACAACATCATTTTGTAAGAAATCGGTGACATCAATCATGACATGGACCATGATGCCGTTGTCCCACAGCTCGCAGTGGTCAGAGGCATGTACAATGGCCATGTAATGGCCAGACCCGTGCACAACGCAGGCAAAGATGTGGGATGGAGGATTAAACCACTCACCTGCTCGAGCATTGCGTAGTTCAAGTTGACGGTCCCTCATTGCTACTTGTAGGACAACAATGGTAAAGCCTCCTTCGCTGGTATAATTACAATCCTTTGGTTGTTGTTGGGGAAGATCAGCATCAAGCTGAAGGGTGATTGCAAGGAAGTCTGATGGTGTATAAAACGGGCGGTGGAGAATGAAGACATATATTAGTGGCCGTCAGACCACCGAGATTGGTGAGGTTCTCAGACTCGTTTGTTGGATGTTGGCTAACAATTTGCAGATCAGTCATTTGCAGATCACCCATCTGGTCTGCGCATGGCGGAGCACAAATTTGTGGTTCACTCGAACAGTGTCGGTAAGCCATTTGCAGATGCCCCATATGGTCTACGCCTCGTGGGGTCAACTGCAATACGAGCAGATCATGTTCCAATCCCTCAACATTTGGGGTCGCATCCTGAGTAGGGACTGTCCCTGGAGTCGGGAGTGTACTCTGGGCAGGGACCACATCGTTTTGTACAGGTGAGACGTGAATATCTAACGCCGCAAGGTATAAAACATGGTGTCGTGGCTGCCTGCAGGCAGCAGGACTGTCTGCAGAGGCATAGGAGCATATTGTTGTTGGTATATATATTGTCACAGAACTATTGACTAAGAGCATGAGCATGTGAAGTAGAAGAAGAAATAAGATGAGCAAAGAAAAGAAAAATGAAAGGAACGACAGGCAAAGAGACAGACAAACCAGAATGACACTTTGTTTCACAGTATTATTATTTCTTTCAGTCTTTTACAAAAATTATTTACACTGAATCAAAGGATCAAAAACAAAGACACATTGAAATCATTCAGTTTCTCAGTCTTCTTAACGCCTCCTCCACTGTGCCTCTAACGTACAAGGCTCGCCACGTTGATGAAGTTGAGCGCGAGCTGCCCCCATCCCCGTATGCCATAACAGCCCACTTGCAC